ATTTATGTACTTTAATAAGCTTTAGTTATAGTGAATATTAAAGTAATTTAATTAATTGTTCTCCAATTTTGACAATCTTTTAAGGGAAGACTGAAAACTTATAAAACTGTAGATAAATATGCTAGACTTTGTATTACAGTTGTGATTTTTAAAGCCATATAGTTGGAAGTATTCAGAACAGCATAACTTTGAAGTCTGGATAAATCACCAAAGATTTCTGGAAGAGTGTTGCCTGGAATTTGTCATTAAAGGTAAGAGTTCTTAGACTTTGATTCAGAAAGAGGTCATTCGAGTTGGAAGAGATACTTTGATGAAGGTGTTACATTATAAAATAACAAGTTTGTGCATGAAAGATCAAAAATGTTGGCGTGAGTGAAAGGAAGAGCAGTGAAGAGTCTGGATACTTAGTGATATTATTTATTATGGAAATCCAGACAGAAGTGTTTAGATTTCAAGACTTTTCTAAGAAGGTCATTCTGAAAAATGTGTAAGGATTTGACACCACACTAAAATAGAATCTAAAGAATGTCAGTCTTGCTGGGTACTTAGAAGGGAATTAGGACAGAAAACTTGTTTTATCATGACCCTTATAATGGTTTCCACTTCCTTTTATCAATTTGCACCATTACCTGCTTCCTGTAGGATATTTGTAGAAAAGCTAATACTTTAAAATATTCATACAGGATTGGGAGTGACAGCTCAGCACTACTCTAACTGAGAATACTTACTGGTACTACTGTCCCCTCATGTCTTCAAATATGAAGAAACAGCACAGAAACACACTGTTTAAATCCCCAGTGGCAGGCTCTGTTGAGTCATCTCAGTTGTAATCTGCCCTATTGCCATTAACTAAAATATCCTTCCTTGTTATTCTTTAATTTGTCATATTTTTCCTTCACAAGTAATAGAATTTTATTTGAAATTCAGATATTAGTTCATAATTATTTAATTATTAATAAGGGGCAGAAATACTGCAAACATTTAGTATACACACATATATGTACAATTTGTAAAAGTACTTTATGTGATAGCCACATTTCTTGTTTTCTGCAATAGGAAATGAATCACTGATGGGTAAAGAAAATATTCCATGTTGAAATAGTAAGTCAGTGGCCCAAGAGAAATTCAAATGAGGGAGCAAAAAGGCCAAAAAATAAAACATGAGTGCACTGAGAGCCGTCTGCATCCCCTCATTCCTACTGTCTCTGTCATATCCAGCTGCTCAGGATGAACTCTCTGATTTCCTCCAACAGGATCCGTGATGATGACTGAGGGAAATGAGAGTGCTGGAAACACTTTTGTCCTCTTGGGCTTCTCAGAGTTCCCAAACCTCCAGGCACTCCTTTTCCAGGTGTTCTTGGCCATCTACACCATCACTGTGGTGGGGAACCTGGGCATGATTGTGGTCATAAAGATCAATCCCAAACTCCATACACCCATGTACTTTTTTCTTGGCAATCTGTCCTTTTTGGATTTTTGTTATTCCAGTGTAGTCACACCCAAACTACTAGAAATCTTAGTTGTGAGAGACAGAACTATCTCCTTCAAAGGATGCATGACACAATTTTTCTTTGCCTGCACGTTTGTGATTGTGGAAATGTTCATGTTGGCAGTGATGGCCTATGACCGGTTTGTGGCTGTTTGTAACCCCCTGCTGTACACAGTTGTGATGTCTCCTAAGCTCTGTGCTCTCCTTGTAGCTGGAACTTACACTTGGGGTGGACTCTGTTCCTTGACACTCACATGTTCTCTCTTGGAACTATCCTATTGTGGACATAACGTTATAAATCACTACCGCTGTGAATATTCTGCCCTCCTCTCTGTGTCCTGCTCTGACTCGCACTTCAGCCAGATGGTGGCATTCATCATTTCTACATTCAGCGAGGTTTGTAGTCTCCTGATCATCCTCACCTCCTATGTCTTCATAGTTGTCAGTATCACTAATATGCCTTCCATGGGTGGACTTCGGAAGAGAGCCTTCTCCACCTGTACCTCTCACCTGACTGCCATCACCATTTTCCACGGGGACATCCTCCTCCTCTACTGTGTGCCCAACTCCAAAAGCTCAAGGCTCTTTATTAAAGTAGCCACTGTGTTTTACTCCATTGTGATCCCTGTGCTAAAGCCTCTTATCTACAGCCTTAGAAATAAGGATGTGAAGGAGACTGTCATGAAGTTAATTCACACCAGCTTTCTTTCTCACTCACTGTAATCACACACAGGCACAGATACACACAAACACATGGTTCCTGGTTATTTTTTTTTTAATTTGCTTCATGCTTTGCATAGATGGTTATTTGTTCTTCAAAAAAAAGGGTAAAATTGATTCAGTGTATTAGATAATATATATATATATATATATATAGCCATAAATATTAAATCTCGCTATGCTTTAACCATCAACTGTCATAAAAGAAAAAGAAGAAAATTCTGTTTATGTTCCTCCCATAATGCAGTTAGCTAAAATAATGATCCTTTAAAGTTTCCATATTCTAATCTTCAAAACCTGTAAATATCTTATCCTTGCATGCCATCCTTCCCTTCT